TAAATCTAGGGCTTGTATCTGCAAGACTAGACTTATTTCAGCACTCTCACTGAAGCCCTGAACGGCAGGGAGGTGCACTTTACCCTGAACTGACGATTCACGGCAGCAATGAAGGGAATGATCCTTGGTCTTCAGTTTTCGCAAAGCACGGACGATGAAACTTGCTTGGTGCTCTGCATGCACACCGGAGAACCCAAGGTGCTCCTGAATCCTGCGCTAGCATGCTCAGGAACCGACCCGATCACCACAAAGCAGGACAGGAAGGGCGCAAACATCTGAGCGGGACGCAGAAGTCGTCAGGGCTTTAGGTTTCAGGCTTGTTAACTGAGACTGTTTCGAAACACTTCGCCCCGTAGTGCAGTCTGCATGCCATGATGGTAGAGCCAGGGGATCGGGACCTAGGGGCAGATGGCACCTGCACTGGGTTTGCATTGCAGCTCCCTGCTTTTTGTCAAGGTTAGGTCTTTCCAATTTCCGGATGTCGGGCTTGGGGCTTCGGATCAACATCTCTCTAGCATCTTCAGCAGCAGAGGGGCACAGGGATTTTCTCACCACATGGGGATCTGCCACTATCACGCTGCCTTGCCTCGATTCGTGACCTTTCTCGGTTGGTCTCCTCCTACAGGTCCTCTGCTTGTGTGTCAAGCGAAACATCGGCCCATCACTTCGCTGTTTTTCTTAGCCGTTTTACCACCGCCACCCCCACCATCATCATCATCACAAGGTGCCTGCCGGACCGATCCTAACTTGAGGGCCTAAGCCCTGCGAACCCGGAATCCCAGCAAAGAACGACCGACCCCCGAAGAAGAATCGTGGTGCCTCGGTGGAGGAGGGGGGACCCTCCCAGAAGGTCTCCTCCGCCTCTAGCTTCGCCTCCTCCTTCTTGCTCTTCTCCATCTCGTCGGACAAGGCAAGCTTTAGGTTTAGGGCCTGAGTCTAGCTTAGCGTTTTGGGTTGATGTTCTTTTCTTTCATCCTGGGATTTTCTATTCAAAGGCTTCTCTGCTAGGGTGTTCTGTGACTCTCATAGCGTATTCGAAGGGCCCGAAGGTTTTCAATGTGGTATTTGTCTCTGATAAACAAATTCCCAGCACGTTTTGAAAGGGACGTAGTCCCATTGCTTTTGATAAGGTGCCTCACGGGTTGAGGGTATTGGCAGCACAAACCGCCACAAATGGACTAACGACGGTGGCCTTCTCTTCCTTCTTCTGGCGGTCAAGAGCCTAGCGAAGCTCGACTGACTCATCGGACAAGACAGTACAAGCCCCCATCGCGAGCGATCGTGGTCTCAAGCGTGCCCACTATCTTGCAGGCAGAATCGCAGCGGTGACAAAGCCGCGCCCATCGTGTCGGACAAATTCTAGGCTGAAGCTTCGCCAAATCAATTCGAAGCCTCTGCCAGGGACATCTTCTGCTTCTTCTTTTTGGCCTTTGCAGCCTGGGGACGGAGGATTGCACAAACCAGGACCTACAGTAGGACCTAGAACCTGGAAGCTATTTGTCCGGCTCCTTGAGTTTTTACGCATTTCCCAAGAGGAAGACTTCCGCTTGCTGTGAAAACCCCGGAAGGACCTCCATCGCTGTCACGGCGTCGCTGGCGCGGCTGGGGGTCTTGCATGCACAAGCGCTTGGGAAACCCAAAACTGAGATAGTGCTACCAAGCCTAGGGCCCAGACAACTCGTGAGACCAACTTTAACTTACGACTTGCGCACGGCTTCGGGATAAGAGGCAACCGCAGGCCAAAGCACACCGGCGTATCATCATGCACGGCACAACAGAATCCCAACGTTATTCATGTGCCTTCAACTCCATGTCCGATGGGACAATGCGGATCGCCTGCCAACCGCCGACGAAGCTCCATCCAGCGATTGCCGCGGCCAGTGCTAGCAACACCTCAGCGGCGGCGATGAAATAATGCAACCCCCCCCGGCACTCCCAAACCCTCGAACCCCATGCCACATAATATAAACACCCCCAAAAACTGAAAAGCGATTGGGAGCCCCACTCCGAAGCGGCCAGCCGCACGACCAGTCCGCGCCTCACTCCGGGGGAGGGAGGGGGAGAGCTAGAGGTTGGGGTTAACTTGATGATAAGACTTATCTCAGGTCTAGGTCGTATGGCGATTAGGGCGTATATGTTGGCGCTCAGACTTTAGGGCTTATAACTGTCACTTCGCTCCCGATCGACCTTGAGACAATTGATTGGATCTTGCTGTTCTGGCGCCGGCAACCCTCCTTCTCCGCCCAAGCGAGGCTGCGGGCAGACTCGGGTAGACTGTACGTGCTGCACTGCATCTAAGGGCTGGGCCATGGCTATCTCGTGTCGGCGCGATCTGCTTTTTTGTCGGAGAGGCTGCAAATGTCAGCGAATCCAGCACGGGAGGGCAGCAGCTGGACCACTGCGAAGTTAAACTCTTGTAGCAAAAGTGAGCAGACGCATTGCAAGGCAGACGCTGTTTTCACCGCACATCGCACTGCTCCTCGCGGGTCGTCTGGCATTTTCACCAGCGCCGGGTTGCCAAGCGTAAGTTGACCATGCTGCGACCTGGCTACAAGGTCAGATGGCTACAATAACTTATGAATAATCATGCTCTTACAGAAACTGTCACAGCATTATTCTTGTTACTAGTCTTATACAATGATGTAATATCAATTTACAATGTAGTTAAATAATGTGATTTCATACAGGTCTGGATCTAGCACACTGCAACCATCTGATGTGGGAGTCTGCGACAAACGAATGCAGCAGCTCGTGTTCAGAAGGCTCTTGAGACTTTCTCGGCAATCTGGCTCCCCAACATCGGATTCTAGCTGTGGCAAGCAAGCGCTCTTATTTCCCTGCCTGCTCCAAAGAGGACAGACTCGGACTTCCAGCGGAGGCGAGCGCAGAGGCCTCCAGACGGTTGCACTCGTTGGCCTTGCTCAACCTATCCCTCCGCCCCTCCCGAAGTCAATGCTTTTGGTCGGGGGCCCAAACGGCCCGTCGCTCCATTGCAACTTCTCGCCCTGTGCAGCACTTAGTCAGAAAGTCACTCAGCTGTATCTACCGAGTCCCAGCGCAGCGAGAGAACGCTCCCACAACCAAAAGTGAGTAGCTCGCGCGGGCGGCAAGGATACTCTTAGACTTAACAGAGGCATCGGTGCTGGATTACAAATCCAGCACAAATAAATGCAATACCGTGGCACAGATAGATAGACTCAGGTAGACATTATCAAGTAATACTGCGAGGCAACCGGTCTCGACGTTTGCACAGGCCTTTATGCTGTAGCCCTGATGTGCAACATAGATTGAGTTGGCAAGCATGGTATGCGCATGATGTAGGAGCTTTCTGAGAAAGCAAACAATGCCAAGCACTAATTTTCCTGCCTTCTGGGGACTCGAAGGGCTTGGACTCGGTTCTGCTCATCACTGCAGCCACGGCATCCTCAGGCCAAAGGCAAGGCCGAAAGTCAAACACGGATGCTTCGGGAGACGAGGTTTGGCTGCGATCATGGCTCCAAAAAGTCGTGCACTCTGCAGTTGTCTTGCTTTGATATGCTCTGCGTCATCACATGATTATTTACACTGAGATGTGTGGAGAGCACCTCCTTAGAGGTTCTCTCAGAGCTTAATGTAGGCGTGTGCGAAGCCGCCTCTTTAAGGATAGCTGGCACAACAGAAACCATCGCAGCTCGGAGCACGCCCATGGCAGCCCATTTGTCTGTTTGTGACAGGGGCTAATCGGTCGCCACGGCTGCCCGCTCTATGCCGATGAGAGGCTTCACCTCGGGTTCCACATCTGCCTGGCCTCCAGCTCAGCATTTCGCATTGTAGGCCTCCATCTCGTCGACCAAGATGCCCGCTTCATGTTCAGCCGGTGTGACCTCTTCCTCCTCTTTTTGCAGCAGCATCCGGACTGCACCCCGCTGCCAGCAGGAGATACGGAGTCGGCTTGGGTCTGTTGGGTCTTCACTCCGGGGCCTCTTTGGCTCTGTTCTTTCTTCCGGCCAGGTACCTCTCGATCTTCGGGGGTCCTGTCATGCTCCACAAAGTCCTTGGCTCTGGGGTCCACCAAAGTGCCATGTACTCCTTGGTGACCATCCGGAACAGCTCGGGAGTCTGGAAGACTCGCATTCCGGGTTCTCTACAACCACCTACCTCGCCAGCTTACGGCCTCATCCGTGTACCACCCACCGTTGTCGTCGAGCTCCTGCTTGATGCAAGTGGCTCGTTCGCGGGCTGTTTTGATCTTCTTCTCCCTTTCAACTTTGTAGGCATTGTAGGGAGTATATGCGGCCCTTGTTCCCGGTTGGCTCTTCTTGAGAAGCTGAGGGTATGAGTCCAATCATGAGCTACAGGCAGGCATTTAAATTCTATGACGTCCTGATTCCTGAAATCAACTCCCACCTGCACATCCGTATAATTGGCACGGACATCTTGGAGCACTCGCCGGAAAATCGGTTTGGCGGCAGCCAATGTCAGAATGGCAGACTGCCGCGCGAAGAGGACAACGGTCAAGTTCGGCTTCTCGTAGACCCATCCGGAACAACTTAAACCAGCTGGTTTGCGCCGAAGCTGGGCAATCCTTGTCAGGGTACGTTTCCAAACATTCTCTGAGCAAGTCAACTCTGTGAGGACTGTCTAGCTGGCTTCCTCATCCTGTGACGCAGTGTCAGCACTTGCATGTAGCAGCCGGTTCGCCGTGACATGTCTTTCTTCGATTCGCATTGATCAACCATCCCAAAGTCTGCGACACGAGGAATGCATAGCAGGTACACAAGACCTCTTCCTGAAGGGGGGAAACTAAGTTGCAGAACTTGCGAGTCCCGTCATCACACAAAAGTACTCCACTTCCCTCGACGTCGTTGCGCAAACGCCCCCAGCTTCAGGGCGTCATACACTGGGTCCACGAAGTCGGGGTAGGCAAGAACACGTCGCCTCTTTCAGGCGACACCCGAAAAGTGAACTTAGACTGTTCACCGTCTTGGGCCCCTTCTGCAGCTCCTGCACGACCTCCGACTTCAGGATTCGGATGCCGAGTCCTGGCGACCCACTTGCCTTGCTTCTCCAACTCCCACCTTTGCGATCTGGGCACTTCCATCAAGCTCGGGTAGAAATTCTGCTCGCTGAGATCCACGACGGCCTAGGTTCATGAGGAAGCCCTGCATCTCGTCATCTTCAAAATTGCCGCACACATTCCTGGCGGACTTCTCCCAGCTATAGTAGTTCGCCATCACCTCAACAACAACAATAACAACAACAACAACAACAACAACAACAACAACAACAACAACAACAACACCAACAACAACACCAACACCACCAACACCACCAACACCACCACCACCACCATCACCACCACCAACAACAACAACAACAACAACAACAACATCATCAACATCAGATTATACCTCAGCGAGGGCAGCGCTTACAAAAACGAGTGCTGACATGTAAGAAAGTATCGATGTTGGTAGTACGCATCGATTGTCCACACCTAACTCTACATGAAGCACGGGTGTCGTTTCGGGGAATTCGCACCGGGTCGACACGAAATCGAGCTTTATCCTCCTAGAATCAAGAGGCCCCGAATCCCGTGAGTCGGGCACCTTGTAGTGGGCATTCCGTAATTGACTCAGCCGTGTGTTGTCGCTGCTGACGATGACCGCCAGGTAGTCCATGATGACCTGCGTGTCACTCCGTGCCCGGAGCACCATTTCTGCCATCATGTTCGAGTTGCTTAGAGGGTTGCAAGCTTTTGGATTATGGTTGTTACAGCCTGAAAACCCCCTAAACCCTAGGCCCCGGTGCAAAAAGGGGATATCAGGCGGGGGGCCGGACTCACCGGACTCAGGGTACCTATGAAGCTTGAATTCGATCAGTCCCACAGGCGTGGTCACGACATGGTGGGAGACTGGTTCAGGCACCGCTTGCATGGGCAAGCTGAACAAGCACACAGCATGATTGCGTCGAGTCGCAGAGTTCTGCACGACTTGGCGGCACCGACTTGACAGGGCGTTGGCCATTGTCGTAATCATGTTCAGGTTCATGAAGCCGGCAGAGTCTGGCTCAGATTGTCCAGCATCCTGCGGAAGCGACCCATAGCTTGCCACACCACTCTGTCACGCAATGTCACGCATCAGCAGCTTGGAGTCCTCGAAAGCCTTGCGCAACTTGTCCCTGTCAACGAAACCGACCAACCTCCCGATGGACATCATGTCCGCACCCAACCGCTGAAGCTGGAAGAACACCTACAAGACCAGTACGCCCTTCGGCGATCAAATCTTGGATCGTCATCCAGAAAATCCCATCCACTCCTGGCTTGAAGTCCACCTCATTGGCCACCTCGGGATTCTCCTTCCACTTCTCAGAGGCATCGCCCCAATCACCTGAGCATTCCTGATTTTTCCCCCACGGGTTGCGAACCGGGACCAGCTTGAAGCCGGAGCCCTCGTGGCAGGACAAGAGGCCATACGTGTGCTTGGTGACCAAACCTTTTCACACTTCGCGTTCGTTTTCTTCAGAATCCACGTGCTTGAGGTTGGGAGTTCCGCAGCCGGCCGGCAATGCTCACTCTTCGAGGACCTCTTGGGGGATGTTTGATGCCGTATTTTGCGCCATCGCCAACCCTGGCTGCTTCAGTGCTCATGGAAGACGCGGCGCAGGGGCTGCTGCAAGAGCCCATGGTCTTCGCCGGGACATGCAAACTGAGTCTGCATGAACAATCTCAGATTCTCTTGCTTGTCATTCTCAGCGAGTACACAGAACTGGCTGGTCTTGCAGGGAATCTTAGAGCTCTGCCCAAGAGCATCACCAGTTCAGCTCTCGCGGCGGATCTCGAATGCCTTCTGGCACCTTTCATTCAACTTGGCATTGACGAAAGGCTGCAAATGCAACACACACAAGGACAACACGGAACAATAACGTCAGGACCTTGCATGCCTCCCGTCGGGGAATCTTGTGAGCTACAACGACACACGTAGCTCCATCCGACATAGAATTGGGCGGGAACTTTGAAACATCCTGAGTTTACTCGCTGCTGACCTAGGAGCGGCCGGCTTGGGTGGTAACTAAGGCCGCGGCTGACACCCACTCAGACTCTCAACATGCACCAAGTCCTATCTCGTCAGCTTCGACAAGCCACGATAGAACATGCAAGAAGCAATACGCGTCCGGAGTCTCAGAGCACAGGGCCCACGTCCAAGCACAGCGATCTCTGCTTACGTCCACTGCTCAGCATGAATTCAAGAGCTCCAACAGCTCGGGGCGCCTCTCCGTCTCCTGACGGGTTCTCGCTGGACTCGCTGTCCTGCTGTCAATTCCGAGCACCTCGATGCAGCGCACGAAGCCGCGAAAGGGGTCACGATCTCACACTCTCTGCTGGCAGGTACGCAGATCCGGATCGATCTCAAGATGTCGCCACGGGTGCTGGGGCCACCACGGGACACGAAGTGAAAGAACCAGGAACAACCTCGTGTTGCAGGCTGACGGGCTGTGTCAGCATGCCGGCATACATTGCAGTATACCATGAGTTTCTGCCGCTCGAACAGTTAGCTGTTCGAGGGAGAACGATCCCACGGTCGGGCAAACATGGAACGCGCCAAACTAACATATTACATGATTTGACATGGAAAGAAATTGAAACACGCCTTTCCCGCCAAGACTGGACGAAAAGCACAGGAGCTGAGGCTCAGGCGAGAGGCCACAAACGTGGGCAGGTAATTGCTTCATAGGCACTTCAGCTGAAGAGATCGCCTCAAAAGCCGGCAGAAGTTTGACCAGGGCGCTCTCAGACTCTCCTCCTAAGCCACGGGCCGAAATCATGGAGGTAGCTCGGCAGGTGGAGCCCTGCAAAAGACAAAGCTGCCCAAGCAGGGTTCCCAGGATCCAAGGGCCCCAAAGCGCTGGCCGCGCCTCTGGGCTCATCAGGATACCAGTAGTCCTGCTACCCAGTAGCGGTGAGGACGGTCTCAACATGACGATCGCGTCCCCTGAGGCGCCTAAGCGGCCAGGGGTCCTTTCCCACTCGGCCTGCGCGCGGCAGGTGATCTCCTCGGAATCCACGCTCCCGGAAGAAGCTCTCTACCGCGCTGGCGTGGTCGCTCCCAGCATACCTGCAGGGCGAGCTTCGAGGCAAACCACACCCAGCGCTCCCAGTAGTTTTCAATGTAGCCAGCTTACCTCAACGAGGCAACGACACTGCATTTGTGTCACAGAAGTTGTTCAACAGTCACTTGAAGCCTTTGGAACGGTGCTGTGATGTCAAAGTGCTATCTCGGGCATAGGATGAAAGAGGTGCCGACCCTGCCCTCCTCTTGCAGTATCAGAAGCCACCCACAAAGGAGGCCGTCTGGCCAAGGCACAAGATCACGACCACCTCGGTCCCAATGCGGGCCTGGAGCACACCTGAGACGTTGCAGCCCCTAGGTTGTATGAATGTCCCAACACAAAACAGCCTAGGCCCTTGACCCTAACCTTTGAACGCTAAAGAGGGACTGAAAGGATCAAGGACGCAAGATTGACGTATAGGCACTGTGGCGGGCGACCTACGGTAGGGCCCTAGCGATCTGAGACCAAAAGGATCGCCGCCAAATCGACCATGCGAAGCTGGAAGACATCCTCGGTTCAGGCCTACGTGTGTGTTGTATAAACTAGGCAGGAAGGTTGAGGGACCACCGCCGCTACGGAGATTGGCGATTCCACTACGCTCAATCATGTCATGACTCTTACTGCGCCGTTCTCACTGCTATCCTGCCAAGCTATGGCTGCCCTGGTCAGCATCCGCCTACGGAAATCAAGTGAATCTTTTGTGTCGGGGTTTAGTCGGTCCTCCTGATGCAACGATAAGGCTGGAATCGGTTCATGCTTGCTCTCGTGACACCCCTCTCGCTTGCTCGGAGAGTGGCGATGATGATCTTGGCCAGGACCCTCTGCCTGGTTGCCACTGACTATGTAGCATAGGACTATAGTGGATGGATATCAGGGTTTACATAGGGATGGGGCTAGAGGAGCTTCGTGTTTACACTGCTCAGGGTCTATAGTATTTCGAGAGCTCGTGCTACCTCTTTGTGGTTGGCTTTCCAGCATCCGGCTCGAAGCTGACGATCTCTCTCATCGCATCTTCGAAGCCCGGGATGTGGATCCTTAGCCGAACTGCGCAATGTCGACTTGGAGTCAAGCATGCTCAGAAGGGATAAAAGTAGCTATAAATTAACCTGACAGGATCTATCCATCGATAAGCCGCAGCATCGCTGCCCTACTGTCACTTCGCAAAAAAAGGCACACTGTTGCCTCCAATTCTATCCAGGACTCCCTCGGAGGTTATGGTACCTGGGGCGCAGCACATTGCCGTGGTGTGCAAGACTTCTTTGCGACACATGAAACAAAGCCGACAGGAGCATGTTAAGTTCAAGCACAGAAGTCGGACCGCATGAGACATAGCACACCGGAGCAAACAAGAAGTCACAAGAACCCATGACCCGGAACTCCGAACGAGCGAGACAATGCAAGCCGGAAGGCGAAGCAGACCAGAATCTCGGAAACAGGAGCCCCGCTGCAGAGACAACGCGAACCGGAAGCAACACAACACGCAGGACACAGGACTGCGATGGCATCACGCAAAGCAAACCGTCCGACGCAACAAACAACTAATCCCAACGCCTAAACCCCAACACAAGCCCTGTGCTCCAACCGACGGGCACAGGGATCCTAAGTTTGGGATACCCCCACTGCTGCTGAGGAACTTCGTAGGATTTGAGAGACTCGGAACCCGATCCCGGGACCGGAGCAATGCCGGATCCGAGGTGTCGATGTCGTCCTCCCGGTGCAGGGATTCATGTTTTTCATGGTTATACTAATACCATATATTATGATATATGGTATTGTCAAGTATACGTATAGTTCGTATAATGCAGTATCTTATCTTAGCGGGTTTTGGGCTTGGGGAACTTGAGGATTTAACATGTACAGGGTTTACCGATCTATGAACCCAGGCTTTGTAGGGTCTGAGGCTTTTCGGTGATCG